CGCACTATATCGTACGCACGGCCAGTAGTTCGGATCCCGGATCGATGCCCGCCTAGGCCAACCAAGCCTTCCATCCCTCCGGGGTCGGTAAATTGGTACCAGGCTCGTCTGGGATGACAACAATACTGACTTGAGCGTCGGCGTGCCACCACAATTCATTATATAGGCCTCATACGCACTCCTTACGCCACTACGATTCTGTATGGAAGTCGAGTGCGGGTGCGCATCCCTCAGATGGGATTGATTAACCTCAAAAACTTTATCCCTATACTAGGAAAGGGCAATTCAAGAAAAGGCCTGAAAAGCTGAAAGCTAAGGTTATGTATTGCCCTTTTCTAGACCAAACAATCGGCATAACTTTTAGGACAAGTTTAGAAAAATAGCAAAAATTCTCCTCCGAACCTGTCGCATATTGTAAATTATGAATAAGTCGAAGAAGAGGAAGAGAGGGCAAATCATAAAATCCAATCCGCATCGGCATCCGGTATACAAAGAGCTACCGAGACAAACCACTATGTTCCAGTGAAATAGTTCAAAATCTTCTCTATCGGAGCTGGCAACTCGATCACACGATCCTATTGTATTTCTAACTAATGGGCGAGCATAAATTTTAGTACTGAGATGGTGTTCCATTATGCTTCGTTGTGAAAATTTTAAAAAGCTGATGGGTTTGGGGGCACGTTTCCTTATAGGTTCGCTCACAATGCGCACAGAAGTCATGCTTATTGTTTCATGGAACCCCAAGTCCTCTACCTTATTCACCTTCAAGACTGCTTCCACTGATAAAATGCGTGGACGAGCAAGATGACCCTAGTACACACGAAATAATTTGTCTGAAGGCAGCGCAATGTGCCAGTCCGAGTACTACTGTATAATACTGCTGCCTGAGAACCGGCAAAGGACTGGCATCCTGTGGAGGGATCGAATCAGTCGTTTGAAATTAAACGTCCATAAGCATCTGTGAGAGACGGTTTCAAAGGCGCAGTTCACGACAAAAAGGTTACCGACATTTTCCCTCCGGATGAGTTCGAGGCCGCTAGTGATAGCATATTTGCCGATGTCAATAAGGGGCCAAAATTGTACCGTGTGGATGCCACACCCACATCAGACGAGTTTCAACGGCGTTGTAGAGGCTGCGCAGTTCACAAAGTAACCCTATAGTAACCCTATTTATATATAAAAAATTGTCATTTTCCATGGCCACAGTGGAAGACAGTTTTGAACAATATTGTTTCGACATAGTCGGCTCTTTGCGTAATTGCAACAGTTGAAATCTCGTCCAAGCACCCCTTCCATGCCATTTCCTTCATGGTATCTCGTACAATTTCTATTTTCACTACTTTTAGGGAGCCTTCTTTCTGACGAAGTCGGCGGATTTCCTTGCTTCCTTTGCCACCGATGCACTACCCTAAACCAACACATTCGCTTTTCGACATGGAAAGGGTACCTCAAAATTATCGTGAGCGGTGCCTTTCAGTTTTCAGGTCTACATAGCGGGTTTGAAGGGATAATGATCGAAACCTCTTTTTAAGGAGCAACCTCAAAAGCTTGTCATCTGTGGCAGCCCTTGTTGAGGATTGATGTGGATAAGAAGATGAGCTTTTGTCAAAGTAGTCGAAGGTTCAAGTCCTTCATGTGCTTCCTGTACCTCTCAGAAATCAGTTTTCAGACGAATTTTCGCACACTTTGTACTGAACCTTCTTGGAAATCGGGGATTTTGATAGAGCGGAACCAGTTGTGAACATTTAAGATTATTTGTTTTATACTTTCTACTTTTTATAACTTGCCGCCTACTTATTTAGCCAATTCCTTGTCGTTATGGATACTCCTATAAGTAGCTTACACAGTACCGTAGTACTGTGTTAACTGGTCATAGAAGTATCCATGACGACCGCGGGTTTTTTAGACTATAATGAAATCGTCCTCCTGAGCACCNTTTGCTGGACACGTACAAGTTTGAGCATAGGCGATTCTGCCCATGCTCGAGTACATACGAACTCCGGCTCATCCTCATTTATGCCAAAGATTCTGAAGTGCTTTTTCCTCCCCTTGTGGTCCCTCCAAGAAATTCGGATAACCCCTCCCGCCTGATCTGCCATTTCAGGCTGGCTCTTCAGACGAATTTGCAGCATCTACATCTACTGTGAACTTCTTCTATGTACTTGCAGAAGATTTGCTACTTCTAGGTTCCAGCAATCTCTTTTTCCTGCAGTGGCGTTAGCTCTTTCTCGCAGGCTTTTGCGTAAGTAGTAGATTCCATAGCAGGACCAAAAACAACAGGGCAGTTCTGTTCGGAAATAAGTGAGCAAAGCTTTAAAGCTGATGTCTTTGAAACAAAGGCAGTGGGCTTTGCAATTTCTCGCCATCTTCAACTGATACAAAATAGACCCAAACAAATGCAAAAAAAATATTTTATGAAATGTTTCTAAGTGTCTAGAACGTTTAGAGTCTTCTCTTTCTCTCGGGGCAAGGGCAGTACTCGGCATCTCCACCGACGTTTCCTTGAGGTCCAGCCTGTCCTGGTGTACCATCCATTCCATTGAATCCATCCTTTCCAGGTTGTCCTTGAGGTCCGGTGATGCCATCAGCACCTGGTTCTCCTTGAGGTCCATCGTTACCGGGAGCTCCGCGAGGTCCTGGAAGACCTGGACGGCCCGGCATGCCAGGCATACCTGAAAGATTCATATACAATTTCCGTGGTTTTATATTGGCTAGAACTTGTAATTTTCCTCAACTTACCCTTTCCTGTGAGACAGTCTCTTCCTGGAGCACCAGGCATTCCTGGCTGTCCTTCGTTTCCTGGTTGTCCCTGATCTCCTTGGTCTCCTTGCTGTCCTGGCTCTCCATCTTTTCCGGGAGCTCCAAGCTCTCCAGGCTTTCCAGGCATTCCTTGGAATCCTTCCTGTCCTGGCAGTCCATCGGGTCCAGGAGGTCCGGCAGGGCACTTGATGCATCCCTTAGGATAGTCGTTGGGTGTGACAATGTTCAGACCAGGCAGTCCAGTTGGTCCATTCTTGCCGTCAGGTCCAGTCTCTCCTGGCTCACCGGGCATACCGGGAGGTCCGGGTGGTCCAGGTGGGCAGTTCTGGGCTGGGAGGCCACAGCCTGAAAGCATTCTCTTAGGGTTATCTGTATTAAGGTCAAATATGATCGAAACGTACTGCACTGATTGCTGTTTCTCTTCTGTCGACCGAAGATACCACGCACGTACTGTTCAGCAGTGGTGCCACCGTTACGCATTACCATCATGTCATCCCAGGTGTCATCGGCGACGTTCTGAATACGGCTATACTTACAAATGAATGGAGCAAAAGAAAGGAATAAATATAGGAACTGAGTGAAAATGAGGCAAATCCCTTACTCGGAAAGACCCAAGCTCTCCCATGACATCATCGTACATGGCATTGATGTCATTAGTGATGACGATTGCTGCCCAAAGACAGGCGATCACACAGAACGTACCACATGCAGCACCGATGGTCACCGCTGTTCTGACCATTTCTGGAATATCAAATCATAAGTTTTTGAATAGCCTGGTGGCTTTGATAGAGAAGAAACCGAGATGGAACGGCTGCTTAACCGATCTCCGCGATGATGACGCTCCTTTTAAGCGCAGCCTGGATCAGGATTTCGTTTTTTCCGTCGATTCTCAATAGAGGCGGTGCCCGTTACGTCTTTTAGAGGGGGCTTTGCGATTCTCCATAATCGTTATCTTATAAGCCTTCAGTTTCGCATTTTTTGATCACTTCCTTGTTCTAGACAAGGGGTAGTAGAGAAGTGCCTTCAATGTCCGAAAAAAGGTTGTATGATTTGATTAACTGGCCAGTTGTAAGTTACCTGAACACTTGCTTCTGTACCAGCGTAGCAGGCCTGCTTTGGGCATGGTCCGGTGGTCAATCGAGCCTTCAGCCATACTTGCGTTTTAATCGGACTAGCGGTTCCGGAAATGGTATAAGGGAATACCAAGTACCTAAGTTCTCCCCACCACAATACCACGACGAACTACAAATACAAAGAGGTACCTTACTTTCCTTATTTCCCGACTGAGATTGTTCTGGATCAAAGAGTTTTTTCGATGAAAGACTGCATTGTCCTGGGCCATCTTGAATCCTAAATGGAAGGGTCAGAGGGAAATAGGACAGAGCCAGTTGGCGCCGCTATCATGCTTTTGTCTGGGAATCAGATCTTAGATCAGACCTCCCTCAACTTGCCCAAGCCCACCATACTTCGGGTATCCATCTTGCTAGATGACCTAGGAAGCAGACGAAGAATTCTACTGATCTGAATTGGTGAAAAGCAGTCTTGACTTCAAATCGGCTAGTCCTCGAGCCATTGTATAGCCATGAGATCATTTGAACCTTACTGTGATTGTGAATCGAGTTCAGAGGGTCGTATACACTTCGAAATGGGAATGATTCAAGCTTCCATATTGGACCAGTAAGTAAGATCTACTTCGTTTTCGTAAAATTCGACTGTGAAAGCCATAATGATCTTGTCCCATCAACGAGCAGGTTAGCCAATTTTCATTTCCCCTCCCTTAGCAAGGTTTCACGAACAAGCCGATGGTACCGACTAGCAACACTCTTTACTTCCTTGATTGTAGGTGATAAGGTTTCCCTGATAAGCTTAGGTGGGTTGCTTCCAGATTGCAGATTGTCGTTAATCGCCCACGCATCTGTCGCAGAGTTTCAAATTTCATCATCATCACCTCGTCATGTGGAAGTGCATGTGAAAACAGTCGATTAACCTTCTCTGTCTGCCCCTTTCCATCTACGAGAAATGGGGGACGATTTATCGAGAATTCCCATCAGAGGACAGAATAGCTCCTCGGTTCGCTGCGAAATACAGGAAAAGCAGCTCGTAGTAGATTGAATTCCCTGCGCTCACTGTGGATCGAGTGTTCGTGTTAGCAAGTTTCGGAACTTGACATCCAGCAACGCACGGAGAGATTTGTGGACTGCGGGCGGGGGGACCGCAAACATCGGCCGTTCGAATCGCTACGATAAGCGTTCCAGAAAGTTGATAGGGACGAACCTTCTCACCAGATCTCTCATACATCCTTTAGAGCTTAGGGAAAAGGAACATGGGTGAAACTGTTACTCACGAGTTACTGCTTCCTAAGGGCCTTGGGTCATCGGTGTCCCGGGCCAGATTATACGCTACGTTAGGTGGAATGACTTTGTGACCTGATAATCAAGCCATTTATAAAATTCCTTATTACTGGAGGCTCAAAATGAAAAAAATTCCAATGTGAATCCAAGTATAACATAAAAATATGTGCATTGTCTACCCGAAAATTTTGAGTGCCTAAAATAAGCGATAAAAACTGAAAAATAGGAAGCACCATTTGGTGAGAATTATTGAAATTCGGGAGGCAAAAACAAGGGCACTCACAAGTATTAGGTTGACGCATAATTGTTGCGGATTTTTCCGCGGCATCTTTTTTCTCGATAAAATTAAACTTTTTGATTCGGGATTTTTGTAGAAATAATCTTCTGGTTTTCCTTCACAGAAATATGTCTAGAAAGTTATCTTCATATACGCTAAATTATGCTCTATTACTTCGAGAAATGTTGGAAGGCGGCGCTCATAACGTGGTCTCAACGAACTTTTCGACGATGGAACAGTCAGCCAAAGCCGAGCAAGGAATGGAATCGCTTCTGCAGTCGCCCTATTCACCAACAGAT